CAGAGATAAATTAAGCAGAGTCTGAAGACAAATCAAATCTCGTCCCAACGCACAAGCAATTGCGACAGTCAATTCAGCCAAATATGGATCGTGTCTCGGCGTCAGCCATCTGGTGCCTGTCAGATATCTTCGAGGTATTCCTCTATAGTAAACGCGTTGTCATTCAACCATCAGTTGTTTCGCTGACGCAACGAAAAATCAATCGCTGAAGTACGATAGCACCCATCAGCAAACGGATCCCATTTCTACGTATGTTATGAGTAGAACGTACCTTATAGAATTCATTGGTAGCCTTTCACGTACGTACACGACCATCCGAGAAGGTTTTCGAGTTAAGGACAATTCTAGTCTGTACAGCACCCCGTCAAAAATTTACAGGACTGGCAACTGTTTAGCAGTGACCCTTACAATCAGCAGGCAGCTTTTGCAGTTACAGAACCCCTAACTTTGTGCGACAGAACCCCTAACCCTGTGTGTCCATACAGAAAATCTGTTTTATCATATTACATACCCACGAAAAATTGAATTACTCAGTTTAGATTGCTTTTATTAACTAGATTATCTACTAGAACTGACTGCCTACAGGACAATGCTGACAGTGTCACATCTGTATTTGACTGCGCACTTATTCTATCTATTCGTTGTCTTCTTTATTTTATGATAAATATAAGCTCTTTCCCATTCTCTCTTATTCCTTTCTTGTCAGTTCCTATCCCTTTACGCGTAGAATATAACATAGAACGATAGGGCACGGCGCACAGAGCTTCTGTAGTGTGTCAACGACCACCAACAAGGAGAACAAAGACGTATGGGTTGAGGCTATTTCCACTGCTGATACACAAGTATATAGCGACGCAAGTACTTTAGTGCTTGTAGTACGTGTGCTTCATGGAGGCCAAAAGTCATATATATATATATATCATTGATAGCCCCTCCGTTCTGCCACGGAGCCTAGCATCACGTGGGAAAGATGGAGCGGGGAGGGGGGGCAGAAACGAAGTGGCTAGGCTGAATGTGACGCGTTTCCGGTGCACCATTTTCGTCTTTGTCACCTCATGCACACGTTAGATAGAGCGGGTGAGGTGTTCGTGGAACACTAAAAGCCAACGGCAGCTTATAAAGTGGGGTATCGGTTCACACGCGATGTTCTTTCATTCAGTTGCTGTACTACTCAGCATGGGTCAAGCTGCTGCGACAATTCATAGGAGCTGTGCAGTGGAATCAGGAGCGTAGAATGTTTATGCTGGTCTGCTCTGCTTTGTCAGCTGCCACATCATCGTTCGACGACAGAATGAATGGACAAACGGACTAAGTGCACGGACGTGCACGATGCTAGCGGTGATTTTGCTTGCTTGCTTGCAGCTATTCTCGTTGTTGTTTCCTTGCCTGGCAGCCGTCCCTGGCCCGCTCGTTCCAACACCAGCTGTGTTTGTACATTTCTCTATTCTACAATGACAATAACAACTGGATATTATCACAACCAATGAAAATGTAACGATATCATCGTATATCTGCGTACTTGTAGCTATTGTACGCCACTTGCCGCCTTTTGTTCTGAGTGACAACCACTCAGAACGCCTCTACAAGTTGTATAATGAAAGTCCTGAAAAGTAGAAGGCGCTCGTAAAGTCAAAACATTTCAACTGTCGGCTATTAAGACTATTTGTATTTACTAAAATTTATGCGCACATACTTCACCAAGGGCCATGTCCCAAACCACTTGAGCCTTGATGTTTATGGATAAATGCATATCAGCCCTGGGTTCAGTTACCCGCCTGGTCTAATATATATATATATATATATATCCCAAGTATATGAGGACTGCGAAAGGAAACCCGAATAAGGGCAGAGCATAAGTCAAGCTTTAGATGGTGGTGTTATCGGTGCTGCTGTATCAGGATGCGCAGTAGTAACTAGTGTTCTCATGGTGCTTTATTGCCATTGGGTGGGGCTCCACTTCATTCGGCTTCCCGCTCTCTTTCTCCCCCTGTGGAGAAAGAAACAACCCCCAAGTGAGATTCATATACTATCGTACATCTATCGTTTTGCTAACTGAAGTTCTTATTGTTAATAACAGACAAAACGGTAGCGAACCATAGGGTTGGTTAAAAAATCAAATCGTCTTATACATTAAGTTTAAGCCTTTCAAAAACAGTACCATCTTTTGTCATATATATATATATATATATATATATATGTAAACAAAAAGTTTGTGTCAAGAGCATTGTTATGTCACCCTACAGCTGATATTTGGGCTCAAAAACCACTCAGTCTGAGTCGACGCGCTTCCGCGTATTCACGGCCATACTATCCGTGCCATTTAACTCAGTCTTCATGAGGTTAATCTTTTTTTTTTTCATTATTATTATTATTTAATTTAAATCAAATCTTCATGAGGCATGAGTATTGATGTTGTTTACGGCTTCCTTTTAACAAGCACTTTTATCGTTTACTTGATTTTAGATTTGCCAAATCTGCCTGTTTCAGTACAGGAACGGGACCAAGCAAAAAGCAAGCTTGACTCTTTTCTAATACCCATGAGACTTATGAAGCCGTCCATTTTATTGGCATAGAATAAATGAGAAACCATAAATACTGTTATTGTATAAATACTATTAATAAATAAATAAATATTTACGTTTTACGGACGCCAGTGATAACTTTCCATCTAAGTCGACAGTCTGGATTATTACAGTGCAGGAAAAAAGGCTGAATTGGTCCTATCTGATTTCTAGCCTAGCCACCGCAAGAACTCGAAGGAAAAAACTAGGCCTTTTTTTTGAAGTGAACTATAAAAGGCTGGCATACAGCGTCTATGCCACCCCCTAGACTCTGAAGGCGCAAGCCACAGCCAATGTTCGATCTTACGTTTCCACTTGCAATCTTCCGGTTGTCACAAAAACAAGTCCACCTTCTATCCTGTAGGAATCACAGCCAAAATATCTACGATTGTCTCAACATTGCCTATCGACACATAGAGATAGAAATAGACCAATCCCATAAATATGTTTTCAGGTAAACTAAGTGATCATAGTAAATACGTTACAAAGATTCAGCGGTACGCCAGTTTTTGCCATGAATAACGTCTCTAGAATTCCCAATAGAAGTTACTAGGAAGTTCTTTTGCTTTTTGTTGTATAGATTATTAAAAATAGCAGGGAAAAAACAAAGAGATCAGCTAAAAAACTGGATCGACTGCAGCGTCAAGTTATATTTGTTCTATAATGATTAGCATATATACCTGCAGGTTTACACATTAAAGCACTCGATATCAGTGCAGACCACATCAAATAGCGATTTGCCCTTGCTGTCGGCTAAGCTAAACCTGTAGGGGCGAAAACAACCGGCTTTTCATGAATTTCTTGAAGCGCTACTAGTAGTGAGGGCATGTCGATTGACGGCTACGTCCTCGCACAAGAGCGATGCAAAACATTGACAAAATCAAAAGACACACATTGCTAGCCATTGAGGCTAGTAATAATATGCTCTTCGGCTGAACGCATTACAGACAGGCATGATTACGCCGTCACGCACCGGTCAAATCAATCAGCGTTGATTATTACACAGATCGGGCGAAAACACGCGGGAGACGCCTCAGCGTTACCCTCAGTCGCTGACTTCAAAAGACAAAAACAGATTTAATCGACGAGGAGATGCTGTCGTAAAAGTAGAGAAGGAAGTGGTTACTTGATTCTGTAATCCCACGATTTGTACTTGTTGTACTTTTCGCTATGCAGTCTGCATATATTTTGCATTGACTAATCACAAGATCCGTATACTATGAGGTCATTAAAAAGTCTATACATACAGAAAAAAAAAAGGTTTACAGTGCCAGAAATAGTTTTTCTGTGGAGAAACAAGACTCGCCCAGAAATATCGAGAAATACACATTTTCTGTGAAATCAATTTGCTGCATGGGCAGATATATTCGCCATCAATGATAAGCAAAGCCCGCTGTTTCTATAATGTGTTTATTTAAACGTCGAAACGATCGTAGCAGCTTTGTTTGACGAACAGGGCACGGAGTAATTGGGTCCCCTTTAGATGGGCAAAGCCAATAACGTCCTTTGCGATGTATCTTACTACAGGTACCCTTGAGATAGCACTGTAAAGGATTCACTACAATGCTTGCAGGTTAGCCAAACATAACTGCTATTCGTTCAGTCCTGAAGTATGGGTCAGCTTGTTCCGTTTGCAACTTAGTTTTTAAAAACAATCTTACGTAGAAACATGACCCCAGAGTCACATGAAGAATTTGAAAACTTTGTGGTATAAGAATTCAGTAAGAAAAAAAAAGAGTTCTTAAATCCAATTATTAATCTTCTTTAAACGTACTAACCCAAAACATCGTGTTAATAAGTATCCGTTAAATTGAAGCATAAATAAGATTATCTGTGATTTTATACAATGATTTTTATGTAGGTATTTTATTTTACGGTTCATTGAGTGGTAAACATATTGCGAGAGATTCATCAATATTTGTTACTTGAAGCCTATCAGTCAACTCTGAATTTGTACAGGCATACTTCACACATAATCATCTTCCTAAAATACACTATAAATTCAATCGATTGACCGTATCCTATAAGCTTGCGTATCCAAGCTTGGGATTAATGCTCAATGAAGCTGCATCTTAGTTGAGTATGGAAGATCCAGAGAAGGATTGAAGGGCTTTCGGACGAAAACAGTAAGATTATTACTAGGGGCAGTGAAGCACGCTCTTACAGCGATCGGGACTGACAATCTGTCCACGTCCTGCTCCCCTCTTTCAAAGATGGAGAAAGAACCGCCATCATCAGTGCGCAACGAGAGAGTGCTTGATGCACAGTGACGTGTGCCCACGTATTATCATTGGATGGCGAGTTCGCATCAAGCTAAATGCTACGTCCTTTAAAGATGCTCATGGTTTCATTGTAAAAAATAATAGAACACATCGACATTTTGCCTTATTGTAAATTCTATTATGTACAGTATTGTATGTTATGTGTGCTGCTACTTACTATGGTAAGCTCACTCTCGCGAGATAAAACCGAAATGATGTTGGAATCCGCACGAACATCGGCGAAAAGCGCGATCAGAAGGCCCGCCGCTGTCAGATAGCATGTTGAATGTATTGTTCTGCTCCTCATCTGCGTAGGACAACAAGCGACATCGCGTTAGACGTTACTCCTCTATCCGCCGTCTGCTTTGTAACATTTAGCCTGTTCATTGCATAGTGTTTATAATACAGCCTATTATGTTGCTAAGTTGTTATATATAGATCATAGAGGTTGTTGTATATATATATATCACTCTAAGGCATCCTAAGGCATCAACCAATCCTAATTATCTCAATCTTACTACAGGTTTGCTAGTGGATAATTTCGAATAGTCAAACTGTCGCTAAGTATTTCTACAGAGGGCTAATTTTCAGTTCGAAACGATGTGTCTACGCCCGATCGCGAACCTGGGTTACTTGATCTATTCGTTCTATTCAGGGATCTATTCGGAAGACACGTTACCGTTACGCTATTTCACGAGAACAGAGAAAATAACTGGTATTGCTGTGGAGAGGCATGACTTTTCCTTGTTTTCGAATATTTTTTGATAGATAGCTCTGAGTAGTCGATATAACTAGACCCTACGGAAACCGTTGTCGGGAAGTGTTGCCTTTCTGAATATTTCGTTGTCTACAAGACTCTTTCATTTGCAGTAATCGCATGGACCGACCGACCGACCGACCGACCAACCAACCCACACATCGACTAAGGCATGGACTTTTTCGGGTAGCGGTTCGACCTAACTCTGGGCTTTAGCATATCTCCCGAAAGCACTCATTCCTTTCTCTTTCACATTGGCTTACAGACCTCACTTATCGGCACTACTAATAATCATGTGCATTTCATATATGCCACTGCGGCTGTGTATTGATCGGGCCGGAACAAACGTCTTCCTTCGTATCCGTTACTCGCTTTACAGAGCACCAACTCTCCTAATTTTTGGGTAAACTTCATTGAGCGAACTTAGCTGAAAATAGTCGTATGACTGCGCAACCAATTCATACCAATTCATAAGCTGTTCGCCGGTAGTCTTTACAAAAATGGGTCTATTTGATTTTCATCGACGAATTGCACCAATGAAGGCGTAGCGAATCCCTTAGCTTCAAAATGCCTCAAAGGGCCCTTCACTATATATATATAATTCAGTGAATTGCCTCTGAGAGGTCCCTGCTGTAACGAAGCCAAGGTTGGTCGTTTCATAAATATCTAGGAAGTGCTTTGCCAACGAAGGCATCCTCGGTGGATAATCCATCAAGGTGTTCACACACTTTGTACTTATGTCTGGGAGCAAATCGAAGGCCATATTATACCTGCGGACAAGCACCACTATTGCAGCGACCTCGTTATGTACAGGTTATGCCCTCGAAGTACCGTCCGTTGCTAGAAGCAGGCTTCCCAGGAAATTACAGTGTCGGCTTCGGTATGCTGGTATTAGCACACAGCGCAGCTACACATAATTGGTATATCGTATGTATGTATATATATGCAATTATCAATGCGGTATTACCGAATAAATAGAAGATGCATTTTGGATGCGACTAGTAGAGATGTTGATGTGTCAGAAGGCTAGAAATAACAAAATGTAAACATGCACGCACATGTGTTGTCGACGGTACCCTATTCTACATTAGTCCTATAAGGGTGCCTGTATCAGTTGTCGGTTGCTAAATTACTATAACCCACTTTTACAGAACGATATTATATTCTTGAGTTGACACTGACTTCACCGTCACTTTAACAAGCGGCAATTTAGTTGCTGGCGTTCACTCGGCGTAGTGCTCACAAAAGCGAATCCATTTGTAAGGCGTCGTATACACGATGTCACAGTAGTACATAGGTGTACTGCACCATACCGCGTACGGTATGACACAGGAGCGAGGTCTGAGGGACGGTGTCAACGATGCTGCATCTACTTTGGCTCCCAGGGCGGCTGGGAGGATCGGCCGCAAAGGACGAGCCTAAATGATGACATATTGGATTAGGCGTTAGCAATACGATGGCCATCACGCCAGCAGCAACGGTGAAAGGCTGCAACAGCCTTTTATCTGTGTCTCAATGTCAGCTTCTCTAGCCATACGCTTCTCTACAGCGGTGCCAGGTGATCGGCACACGATGACCATTGTGTAGATCATAAGAACAACCGTTGTTAATCATACAACTATTGTGCGGGGCAAAGCCAGTAAAACCAGCAGTTCTAGTGCACCCTATCGATGTCTGTGACGAACTTTGTGTCTCTTTATAGTGTAGAAGTAAAAACATATCGATAATAATAACCTCATACTATTGTTAATAGATACGAAATACAAGTTATTCTATAGGTTGAATTTTTTTTTATTTAAATTTCGATCACAATTTGAACGTGTTCATCGAATGAAGCCACTATGCGTCGCGGTAACATTGGTTCGGGTCCCTACTGAAACTGCCCAGAAGCTCGTTTCACGTGTCCCCTTGCAGCTCTGCGGGAATCTAACTAATAGTTAAGATCATTTCCGATAATCATCGAAAAGGACTGGCCCGTCATTCTTGAGAGACATGAATGCTAGACAACCGTAAAATCTGTTACTTTTAATAAATTCCAAAAGCATCTGTCACGACGTATGACGTAGGTCTTTGCGAGATTGAACGCTCACTCACATCGAATGTCCTAACTAACGCCCTGACCAGGACAAGCCGGATATACACATTCGAACCATAGCGATTAGTATTAGTTGTTCACTCTTTATCGTCAATTTAGCTATGTTGAAATCCTTTTTCTGGGACCATTTTGCGACGCGGTCCAGCATCGAAGTTTAGAACCTCGATAAGGGTTCGTCTTTAAATGATAACCGATCTTCACTGAAATTCCAGAAGGGACGCACTGTTGCTTTGTTGGAGAAAAGACTAGCTGTCGTCCGCTAGCCTCTTTGTAACAAACAGCTCACCAAAGCCTAGCCCAGACTATGGCCCGCACCCTGTATATATATATATCCAACGGGTTTTTGTATTTCGATGCTGGTGCCAACAGCCCACTATCGACAAACCTAAATCGACAGGTTTTAATGAAAACTCATCTCAATATCTTGCACGAATAGCTTTCTGTATTTATGAAGCAGATATGGAACACATGCACAAAATATTACTTTGCCCTTAATGTGTTACTAGTCGCTAGGTGCCCAGATTTGTTTCACAGTAACTGTCAACAGTATATATCTACGTGAAAACAGTTTGGCAAATGTTAATTTGCCGTATCGCTATATGGTTCAGCGTTCCCGAGAAAGAAAGATCGTGTTCAAATTTACCAGTTGACGAGTGCGCCGTCACGGGTGCGCTTTAGCGACATCGTTGCCGTCCCAGTCATTTACCGTCGTACACGCATAGCTGTTTGTGTTTCGAAAAAAGAACATTTATCTACACTTCTGGGTCTCACCCGCCGTAACGCATCGCGCACATTATGCACCCTTCACTTACAAGCAGTAAGATAGCTTCGGTCTTCGTAGCTGGCTCACCGGTCGCGTATGCTAACTGATACTACCGTTGTTATACGTTGCGCATTCCGAATCGAACAGAGTATTTGTAAATTTTAGATTTTTGCCAAAACACCTTCTAAGAAAATATCGCTTGTAGACTGCCGACGCGTTGCTTATGACGATATTAGGTCGTTGTAACGGTGTTGTTTTCATTCATCGTAAACTCTCCGAACAAATCGATAGAACGAGCTTGTGTTCCGTTCGTGGCCTGTATGCGCCTGAAAGTTCATATTCGCTGGAAAGTGGTGGATGTTGGTTGTAAGGCTAGGGAAGAATCTCGCTTTACAGATCCAGTAGCGTCGGCTGATAGGGCTAGCTTTTCGATGACGGCGCTTCACGTTCTTCGTTTGTCGGGTCCCGCTAATTAACACTTAGGTTTCTATATTTTCTCTGCGTTTACTAGATGCGGCAGGACGCTGGATCTGTGCACTGTTCAACTACTTTTACCCCAACGAATAGGAATGGCCCGAACTACTGAATCTGGAGGCGAGCACTAGAGGTAGATATGCTATGGCCTTTGCTATGACTTGTCGAATAACATTCGGACACGTAAAGCTATTAACACAGGCAAGAATATAGCTTGTTGAGCACGAATTTCCTTCTAATTGTCTCGCCTTCTCCTATATATTTCCTCTTATTAATCTCGTTTAAATTTACCCCTTTCCTTAACGTTTTGAAAATACTTTGCGTATGTCAAGACATAGTAAGATTTTCGTTCGTCTGAAGCTTAACATACGCATTTAAGCTGTGGTACCTGCACTGATGTACGTTAGGCCAACGATTTCTGCGACCTTCTACACCTGTAGGTCGCTGCTTCGATTCCTTAATCAGTTAGCTAAATATATCTCGGACAGCTCCACTCTATTGCGCTTCGTATGAAATGGTTTATATGACAATATGGAGGCGTGTCGATAAAGTTAGACGTTACCTCCTGAAAAAGCGAAAGATTCAGAAACGTGTTTTTCTAGTGCTATTTGATTTTTCCCTGTATACGATGGTCAGCGACAGATTAGGTGATACGCGTCGTATGACGCCCATGAGATGAATGAAAACACCTCATCAATAGGATGGCATCGTGACAACGACATAGAAAGAACTAGAGGATCACTGAAGTAGATTAAATGAAAGAAACGATACTAAAAGTGGTTCGGCTTGCTAGTGGTAACATCAGTATTCTAAAACGACAATTTTATCCTGACCTATTCAAACCTAGCTGGCGGAGGCGTCGACGTAGGTAGAGTCGGCTACATTGTGCAGCGTCTTTTTCGATAATTAAAAATCATTGTTACTTTTCAACAGTTGTTCTTGTATCGTACCGCACTCGCCCATCAATCAACATTTATGCACGAAAAGCACATGTTTTCTTCACATAATCCATATGTATTGAAGTATGATTTTTTTTTTTTTTTTTTTTTTTTTTTTTTTTTTGTAGAGCCGATTACCATTCTCATTATAGAATGAGCAGCAGTATTACTTTATGATATATAATGATATCGTTTTATCAAAACTATTATTATATAATGTGCATAGCTTCTTAGCCGGAGGATTTGGTTGGCTTGAAAGGTCAAATGTCAGATTTGTATA